GTGGGAAAAGTTATGGAAAGTCTGGTAAAAGATGCTTTGCAAATTCATTTAACAAAACTTAGAATTTTATTGGATAGTCAACATGTTTTCACAAAGGAAAAAAATCTTGCCTTACAAATCTTTTGACAATTATTGAAAAGGTTACTGCTTATGTAAATGAGGCTAAGGGTGTAGATTTGGTGTATCTGGATTTTCAAAAGCATTTGACAAAGTGCCACATAAAAGGCTTGTGAAAAGAATTATAGGTGTGGGGGATAAGTTAGCAAATTGGATAGAAAAGTGGCTGGATGGAAGAAAGCAGAGGGTTGTTATAAATGGAGTTCAGTCAAACTAGATTAATGTCACAAGTGGGGTACCTCAGGGCTCAGTCATAAGACCTTTGCTCATTTTGATTTACATCAATGGCATAGATGAAGAAATGTTCAATAAATTACTTAAATTTGCTAATGATATTTAAGGTCTTGGGCATTGCTGCTACACAAATAGATTTAGATCATTTAGTTAGTTCAGCTAATAAATGGCAGATGGGTTATCATAATTTTAATTATAAGTATAATTTGGATGGGAATAACCTTAACAGTGTTATGAAAGAAAAGGATCTTGGTGTTGTGGTTGATCAGTCTCTTATGCCATCCAAACAGTGTGTTAGTGGTAAGGCAAACAGGAGTTTAGTTTGTACCTACATAAATATTGAATACAAGTCTAAAGAGGTTATAATTTCATTGTATAGGTCACTGGTTAGGTCACACTTGGAGTATTGTGTTCAGTCTTGGGCTCCTTACCTTAGGTAGGACATTGAATTGTTGGAAAGGGTTCAGAGGAGGACTACTGGAATGGTGCCTTGGAGTGGAGGGGTTGTCATATGAGGAGAGGTTAAGATCTCTGAAGTTGTTTCTCTTGTAAAAAAAAAAAAAAGTTAGAGGGGATCTGATTGAGGTGTCTTAAAATTGTTAAGGGAATTTATAGTGTTGATGCATCATCTTTTTTCATACTAAATGGTGAAAATGGTAGACCTAGGGGACACCAAATATACATTTTAGCAGGGTAGGAGTCAACTTCAGCTGAGACAGGATGATTAGCCTTTGGAACAGGTTACCTTCAGATGCTGTGGAGGCAGTAAATTTAAGTGAGTTTAAGAGCAAGCTTGATAACTATATAAATGATAAGGACTGGCTTTGAGATTTTTTGATTTTTTTATTTAATAGTATTAGTTTGTTTTAGAGGATGGTACAGCCTAGATTGACCAATAGGTCCCTTGTTGTCCCTAAACGTTATGTTACATTATTAAATAAGTAAGTAAGTAGTTGAAATAAATTTTTTTAAACCATTACATTCCTCCTCCTACTTTGAAAATGTAAATAGTAAATGAATTTTTAAAATAAGTGTTTAAGAAAATGTTGCACCAAACAATTTAAAAAGAAAAACACACAACAACAAATCAGTAAACTGAACAAGGAAATTAATAATCAACAAATAATGAAAATGTTATTGTTTCAGTTGTTATGATGTAGGAAAAGCATTAAACAAATAGGTATACAGCATTAACCCCATACAAGTTAAACTGTATGATTAATACTCAAGAAGAAAAACCTGAATAATGCATCTTTATACATGTAGAAATAGGCATAATTTTCACAAAGGGTGGGGAGTGACATTCCCCCCTCACTGTTTCAAAGATATAATACCTTTTTTGATAAAACAATACCCTCATACATACCCCAGATACAAAAAACTGCCTGTCCCCTCCCCTTTTGAATTCTCTCTCTCTCTGTGTATATATGTGTGTATTTACATATATCCTGAAAGTCCTCTTTATAAAATTGAGTAAGGAAGCATATTATGCTAATATAATAATAAGTTGGCAATGAGTGATTTATTTTGGGGGAACATACCACATGTTTCAACAGAACGTTGGTCTATCTTCCCTCGGTTATGTCCTGCTTGTATCTTGTGATTTCAAATATCCCAATACTTTGTTAAACTTCTTCCAGATTTTCATTGGTCCATCTGTAGTTCACAATATCTTGAATATTTTGCTCAAATCCTTTCGGAATTGGTTTCATCTGTGTTTGGCTGTAGTACAGCTCATCAAAGATGGCTGTGATATGATACAAAGTTAGAACACATTCCACAGCTTCTTTGATGGCTGAAAAACAGGTTATTCATCAATCAAATCCAGCGTGTGGTTATCTAGCTAGTGACTAATTGCATCCAACATGGGTTATCAGGTTACTAACTAGTCGACTCCAACTTGGTTCTGGCAACTGACCACTCATAAAGCTATTGGTAATTCAAATCCAAAATGTGATTAGGCCACCGATAAATCTCATCAAATATATGATAATTAGATAATAAGTAGTCAAATCTGTGGTAGCAAATGAATGACCAGACAAATTTAGTATGAGGAGATTAATTTTGCCTTCTATGAAATAACAGCTACATTCCAGATGTCAAAGAGGAAGTAGGTAAAATGAAAGACAAAACCATAAACCACTTGTTACCACGAAGTTCTTATCACCCTTTCCGTCAAAGACAAGGTAGTGAGATGGTTGCCTTAATCACATCTCACTACCCATGTCTTTCACAGGAAAAATGCTTCTCTCGTTTTTCTATATTCAACATTTAGCAGCCTTTTAATTCTGTAAAAAATTAGATTAATCCCAGCATTATACTGCCAAATATGCTTATATGCTTTGTAAGATGTGATTTGTGTTTTCAGCTAGAAATATTAACATAGAGTTTTCAAGCTCAATTTATAACATTTAGTGTTTTTAAAATACTACATGCAGGTGGTTAGAATTCAGTTGGCATATTATGTGCTCATCAACTGTATTGTACATGTTCTAAGTATAATTGATAAAGACAACATGGATTTTTGGATGTAGATTTACAGAATATTCCTGTCACTGTAGATATTAATCTTTTCATGATAAATATAAAGATTGAGAGATTATTAATAGATAAAGCACCAGGACCATACAAGATTTTCCCCTGAGTTTTAAAGGATGTCAAAGATCAGATACGTAAACCTCTTTCTTTGATTTTTGGTAGGTAATAGAAAGTGAACAGGGGCCTGAGGACTGGAGAGTTGCTAATTTTACTCCATGTTTTTAAAGGGGGTGATAAGAGTTGCCTTGGAAGTTATATCCCAGTTAATCGTCATATTTCTGTAGTAGAAACAATTTTATACATCTTATAAAAAAAGAAACATTTCAAAATCATTTAGTGAACTATGAGATCATAAAAAAGAGCCAACTTAAATTCTTGCTTTAATAATATGGGAATTTTTTTTATCTAGGATGCTACTTGTTATCCAGACAATGGAAAGGATATGGACTTGGTGTACCTGCCTCATAGTTATTTGTCCAATTTTTCAAAAAGGCTTAAATTCCATTTATCTTGCACCCCTGTTGGAAAACGTTTGACGTATGTAAATGATAGAAGCATTTCAAATTGTAATTGCAATCAGATTAATTGTAGGCTTGCTACTTCATTTAGGAAGTTATATCAATATGCCTTTGCTCATCTGTTTATTTTGCACCCCTGTTAGAAAAAGTTTGACAGAAAAATAAATATTAAAATGAAAAATCTCAAAAATTCAGATGTTTTTTGTTGTTGTTTTTTGTCAGTAAATTAAAATATCAGCACATAGGTAAAAGGCAAAATTCTTGAAATTATCATTGTTTTGGAGATTTGAAAGAAAACCTTCAAACTGTTAGGGAAGACCTGATTTCATGTGGCTTCACACCTTTCTCTCTCCTTAGCTTTTATCAAATTTTTATTTGTAATTATCTGAACACAGTGACTTTCTTTAAAGATTTTCACAACAAATTTAATCACCTCATATCCTAGATGTTCTTCTGGTTTTTATAATTACTTATATACTATTTGTATATATGAAACATGTCCTTAATTATACATACAGTTGTTTTCTTATGGCTCCTACTATTTTCAGTGAAGAAACTGAAAACAACACTGTATTTTTGCAATGTACATTAATTAAGTAAATTGTATGTCCAATATGAAAAACTTCAGTAAGATATAATAAAATGTTTTCTTTATACCATATTTTCAAGTACAAAAAGATGTTCAAAGGGTTACAAAAAATGTGTGTATATCACATTACCAACCACTGACCAGTCACCAAAAAATGTTTTTTTCTAGTCTACATAACAGGTCTTGATAATGCATCAAAGTTTTTCTAACAAGAGGGTGCAACAAGGTCATTAAGGGTTAGTGTTTTGGCTTATGCTTTGTTTGTTTCTTTCTTTTTACTTTAATTACGTTAACTGAAGCATAACTACTCAATTAGTGCAGTTTGCTGATGACATTCAACTCTTGGGTATTTCTAGCTGTTTTGTGAATGTTGAGGTACTACAGAATGGCTCAGATCAATTGATAAGTTTAATGAACATTTGGAAGATGAATTAATTATAGTAAGTGCAAAGTAATACATTTGGATTATCATGGGAACCCGCTTAACAACGTGATTGTAGAAACTTATCTTAGTGGTAGATGTGTTATTCAAGTCATTAATGCAATACTTTGTTGCTAGTAATATAGCTAATACAATATTAGCTATATAGTAATATAGCTGATACAGTTATAGGGTATATTTATATGTACTGATTATAAGTCAAAATAGGTATCTATACAAGTCACTAGGTAGACCTCACTTGGAATAGTGATTACAGTTTTGATAGTCTTGTCTAAGAAGTGATATTGATTTATTGAAAAGGGTTCAAATGAGTTTTACTGGGATTATTCCAGCAACAGAAGTGTTATTTTATAGGAATAGATTAAGATATTTTGCTTTTTCTCTTTTCTTGAGAAAAGAAGGATAAGAGGTGATCTTATTGAATTTTATAGGATAAAGACCATTGATATTTTTTTTCTTATACCCTGAAGACAAGAAGACACAAGTTTAAGACTTAGAAAATACTGTCCAGGTTCAGGGTTGGGAACTCGCAGCTCTTTATACACTGTAAAGTTCACATTAAGAAGGAGAAAAATTTCACATTGTATGCACTTGAATAACTGTCTGCATGTAATAATTATCCCTTTAAACTTTAAGAAGGGCTGATTGCAGAACATGTTTGAACTGGCTTTCCTTGCATGTCAGTCTTGGAAAGTCCTAGTAAACAGACCATGAGCTGCTTGGTCAGCTAGAACCTAGCATATGTTGTGGCCGTCCCCCCCCCAAAAAAAAGACTCTTACTCTATGAAATATTGCTGACTGCTGAGCTAGACTACAGTTAATACAGTTTTTTTTCTAAAAGATTGATTGGCTTATGGAATGAGTTGTAGTTGGCAGTAGTGGAGGTCAGCACTTTACAAGAGTTTAAGAGTGAAAACAATGATTTCCTGAAAAATAAAATGTTCAGTTAAGTTTTCACTTTTCTCAATCATGGATGTGCAAGGATAGTCTTGAAGGACCAAATGGTCCCTTGTTGTCTAAATGTCATGTTTTGTTAACTGTCTTAGCTGTGTTTAAACATTAGTCTTGGTTGTATGACTCAGAAGAACTACACAGACTTCAAAGAGTGTTTAACTTAATTCATGTACAGTTAAGCAATAATATTAATTTAAAGGATTTACATATACAGAAAAAAAAAGATTTATAAACACTTCAGTTTTGATATTATTAATTAATTGATGACAAAAAACATCAAGTTCTGTATTTGTGTCAATTTTATATTAAATAATAAGATTATGAAAAAATCACCCACTTTATATGCACAAGTCTTTGTAAAATATCAGGTAATAAGACTAAACATCAATATGTTCACGAAAAATTAATACAATTTTTACTCTAAAGTGAAATACCTAAGTTTATGAAATGACCCTTTTTAACACACCGTATTCTGTGTTCTACTGTTGTTGATGCCTTTAAATCTGTATATTACATAATTATTTTGTAGGGTTTGATGAGAATGCTATGTTCAAGCTCACTGATGCATCATCTAATATTAATGTAAATATATTTAAAAAAAATTCACACTCCACTTAATATAAAGTTAGTTATGCATGTTTAAAATTCAGTATCATAAAGCTTAAGTACCGGCTGTTTGTCATGATAAAGCCATATAGTTATTTACATTTAAATCATACATTATCTGAAATATTTTTATATATATATACTTTTTAAGATCAGTAATTAAAAATTAAAACTTACTTACTGCCGAAGTCTCCATTATTTTTCATTCCATCATACTTGTTTCTGTTAAGTGCACACTAGAGCTATTTGTGTTTTCCAGCCACAGTGTGGATTTATCATAAATTAACAGAACTGAAACAAACAAAAAACTTTTCAAGAAATACTTCACAAAAATTTCCATTTCCACTAATATAAATATTGTAAATTCTAAGGTATGAAATCATGAGTTTGCTGTTACATGCCCCTAAAGACATCTTGTAGGATGTTATTAGTTCAAAATTTGAACATTTTCAGTTAACCTCAAGGCAAAAACAAAATATACAGAAATTTAAGTTCATTTTTTAATATGAAAATTTTTAAATTTCATAAGATCCATAACCTAAAATTAAGAGAAGCATATTTGCAATCTAAATAGGTAAAACCTATATTTCATTCAGCTTTTATAATTGTTGATACTGTAGGGTTAAAAACTTGGATATACTTTTTTTTTAGCAATTTTAGTTGAGTAAGTAGTGTAAATGGAAAGGTGAAGTTATGCATTAGAGCTGTATAATCAAATTGTAACAGTTCTATCAAATATTAAAATTATGTTAGAATATAACCTATATGTAGATATAAATATAACTTACCATTATATTGTGTGTATAGCTTAAGATTCGTTTCTATTAATGCCTAAATTAGCATGACAAAACCTAAATGTTTTATTTTCGAGCAACTTTTATATGGAATTTAGATGTTAATCTCAATGATTTTTATCCAGTGGGAAATATCTTGGAGTTACAGAAATAAGTCCATATCTTGGAGTTAAAGAAACAAGTCCAATATAACTTTCTCAGTACTAGACAAACTGTTGTTGGGTTTGATTTATAGATTAACTTAGGATTTCGCTCTCACTCTATCAAAACAGTTGTATTTGAATGCCTCAAGCTTTTTGTGAAGCAATAGTAGATATAACAATGTTTTGGGACAACATGGGACCCATCCTCTAAACTTAACTAAAACTATTAATAAATAAATTAAAAAAAAAAATCTTAAAGCTTGAAAGGCAATCTTGTAATATTTTGTGTAAAGACTGTATTATCTATACTATTACTCTGCATGTTTGTATGTACGACCGTTACACTTTCTGACCGACAACCTGCTGAACCTGCTGCATAAGCGTGCGTAGTTAGAATGTTTCCCCAAGAAAAATTGTGCATGCGTATTATTCAATCGACGTAAAACAGTCTGCCTGCGGCAGAGAGCTGCTGAGCTCAGTGATGAAGTTGCTACAATTGCTGTATGAAACAGGAAGTAACAACAAAAGGGGAATGTAAATATACTTTGCTAACCATTTTATACAATAGAATATTAAAAACTTATTAAAGTTTTGATGTTAGATCATAGAATAACATTATAAGTTTATTTATCAATGGTATTAAGTACAGTAAAGCTTAGTCCTGACTAAACTAAAGTAAAAAAATGTACATAGGTTACAGTTAATTTATCTCTTCATCGAACTTAGGCCTAACATACGTTAAAGTTTTATTA